AGACGGTTCCTGCCATAGCAGTTGGTCTTTGGGCATAATGACCTGGTGTCTGATGGTTGCATCCGATTGGTGTGCAATCCCAACTTCAAGTGGGATGAGAGGGCACTGATACCATTCAATGACGCCACATGTATCATCCACATACCAAGCCCGAATTTCTTCTGTGGTGCGGAAGATCAGCAACTCCAACTGTTGTATAACCGCTACAGCCAAGACTCCGAAATCATTGAACTCATTGGCGTGCCTCTCACCTATTCGTAAATTGTTCCGTCGAACGTGAGGTATGTTTTGAGGCACAACTTCAGGAATTCGAAAAATTAAGTCATTCTGGGGGATTGTAAATGATTACTTAGGAAATTCTGCCTGGGTAGTCAGCTTGTTGTACCGTATTGGTGGACTCCATACGAGCAATAAAGTTGGACGGGTAAACCCGATCCAAGTATGGTTAAACTCGCGGTGCAAGACGTGGCATTTGTAGCTCAACTGGTAGAGCGTTGGCTGTGTAAAAGTCTTCCCTAATATGCGGGTTCAAATCCCGCCGAATGCCGCAATTTTTTTCACAACTAAATTAAGCAAATCTGCCAAACCTTCTAAATAATTATCAGTCCTGCATGAGTAATTCGATTATATCGACTGTCAGATGTTCGGACTATAAGTTGATAACATTGAACTAGTCACACAGAACGAGTATGATGGAGTCTCTGACACGTCTATGTCCACTAACCCCTGAAGTTCTGTCTTAAGATATACTTCATGTTAGATGTAACAATCTAAATGCATCTAAGGTGGAAACGGTTTAGTCTTCTTGCTTATCTCTCGTAAACGGCCTGACAAAAAAGCGTCGTCCGAACAATAGCCTTTTACGCCCTCAGTTCAGTGTTGAGTAGAATACAGAATTTGATCCGGAGAGGGCGCTTTGGCCAGCCGAAGTTCTCGTTGGTTGTTGATATCCGACTCGCCTTTCTATCGCCAACCTTAATGTTTTTTTTAAATTGTGCTACCAAGCTACGTGAATACGTTTACCACAATGAAGTGAGCTCCTCCAAAGTTCATAAGCATATATAAATTCTGTAAATATTCCCATGGTTTATTTGAAAAGCCAGTTTATTAGGCAAACATGTTTTCGTCAATTCTTCGTCAGGCCGTTAACTTTGCAAAACAATGAAAGTTTGAACGTGTATAAAAATCAATAATTGTCTGAGTTGGGCGCCGATTGGCCACTGCGGACTGTCAGTCTGCGCAATTAGGCGAGATCGGCATGTTGGGTGATCGACTGCCACTAGTGGGTGGAAGCGATGTGCTATCGTCACCTGGCGTCGGCGTCGACCACGGACACCAACCAAATTCTCCAAAGGCCTACGCCAACGGGTACTGACAACAGCGGAAGCAGTGGCTATACATCTAATGAATCCAATGCTGTGCTGTCAGAAAACTCTAACACGAGCCCTGTCCCTTCCGTGGCCGATGCCGACGCCAGGGGACGATAGCATATCGTCCCCACTCACTAGTGGCAGTCGCTCACCCAACACGTCGATCTCGCCTACTTGCGCAGACTGACATAGCCCGCAGTGGTCAGATGGTTATTGATTTTTCTACACGTTCAAACTTTCATTGTTCTGCAAAGTTAATGGCCTGACAAAGAATTGCCGAAAACATGTTTGCCTAATAAACTGACTTTTCATAAGAATGGCCAAGCCATTGACGCCGCTTTGCATTTTCTTTACTCCTCAGGTCCTACCCTTAAGGCCGCAGAAGTTTAGCGTCTGTCATCTCGGAAGAAAGTTCACTGGTGTTGGTCAAACCGTTTTCGGCGAGAGAAGTAGATTTTCTTTTCTCTCACCACTAGAGATCAGTTCAACATCTGAGATAAAATGACCTTGTGAGACTTAGCGGACGATCGGAGATGGAAGACATGAGTACCAAGTCTCAGAGGATTAGCATAATTTCTTGCTGGACCCCCTACGCCTACCTCGCGCGAGGTCCTTTTTTTTAAACTAATTTAACTATACGCGTGATCCTTAAGTGGACCAATAATGCGCTTATGGATAGATGCTTATGAAACTCTGTAAGTCTTTTTGAAAAAAAGTAGGGAACAATGGAAGTAACAGAATTTATTTGAACCACCTTCCTTGGAATAGAATGAAGGAGTCCTTCGGTTAGGTCATATTATCGAGGAAAAGTCTGGATAAATAGTTGAGAAATGTTCTGCCAATTTATTGCTTGCAAAATTTTATACTAATTTCTCGTTGAAAGGCGTACAGTCGTGGTCGTTCCGTTTTCCCACTGACTTTACCGGATAAGCGCGGACTGAAAGGCAACAATGAATTAATGTGTGATCACCTGTAAAATGGTTACGATGAAAATGCATGAATAAACTGTGGATACCACTATTGATAATGAAGTATACTATATAATATAAATATGTATATCCCGTTCACCATCCCCCACCGAAGACGAGGAAGAACAAAGTGCGCCTTCGCGGACTATAGTGTATTGGTCCTGACGTTTCGGAAACTTTATCGTTTCCATCATCAGAGGGCTGGAGTAGATGTTCCTGCTTGCCGAGAGTTGTTCAGCCGGGCCGCCTGTTTCGTGTTATGGGCATGCTTGACGCACGGACACCCACCCTCCTGCTGTCTGCGGCTTAGCTTTGGCCTCATCTGTGGTGGACTGCTGATGACCTCATACGACCCCTGCCGCCTGGTCGCTGCTAGGTTTGCATGCACATTGTGTGAACTGAGACGACTCCTACAGAAATTCCCCGCATAACCAAGTGGGCGAATCATTTGTCGCTTCACGTGTAAGTAGAGGATTCACGTTGGCCGTATGACTTCCGGCTGGCCCTTTCCTCGTGCTGCGACGACGACCACTGTTAGCAAAGTTGTAGGTCGATTCGCTAGCGCTGTCGGCCTTGTCTGGACTGACTGAAGTCTTGCACGGAGGGCCTGGTAGGCTGGATGCAAACCAAAATTCTGGGCGAAATATGCCGACGACACATTTGCCGTAATCAAAGAGAACGACGTGCAGGACTATCCCGTGGTAGATTTGCAGGCTAATAAGTTCAACCCTAACAGCTGCGATATTCTAGGCGCGATTCCTTTGCAGAAGAGAGAAGTCTTGAAAAGGCCAGAGTAGTAGGAAGAGTATATTCTGTCGAATAGG